TTTACCTTAGCTTTGATTATATATTTCACAATTTTGTAATTTATCATTGTTTATTAAACTCTGAAAGCTGTGTGGCTTTAATAGTCTGTCCTAGAATGCTGTAAGATGTGGCCTTTTTTTTTTTTTTGAGCACCTGCTCTTTTAGTGGTCTCTGCACGGCCCTGAAACTTCCCATTAACCCTGATCACTTGGGAATCATCATCATGTCATCGCAGTGGTCCTCTTCAGCAGAGGGCCCAGGGGGAGCCGGTGTAGAGTTTTTGCATGTTGTGGCGAAACGTTCGAATTCGGTCTCATCTTGAACCCGAAGCGCCTTCTTCTGCAACGTTTGCCGCGTCCCCCTTATGGTTTCCTCTTTCCCTTCCACTCTTCCTTGAAGGCGAGATTTCTGGAGTGCATTCTAATTCCGATTCTTCCACATGAGCTGTGGATCTTGGCAGATCTCTGTGGCTACCATGGGCCACTTGGCTGCTTCTCTGATTAACGCTCTCCTCGTCTGACCTGTCAGTTAGCTGCGTCGCTCTTTCCCCTTGAGGCCTCCAGAGAAGCGTGGTATTCGTACTGTTTAAAAAAAAAACAAAAAAACCCCCCCCAAAAAAACGATGTAGGTCTTGTAAATCGTGGGACATTTGGAGACAGCTGAATGCACCCGGTTCCGTTTAGGGTCGTCGGTGTAAAGGTGGCTGAATTCAAATGGGTCCCACCAGTCCCGGACGGCATTCGTTGACGTTTGTGGCAAGGTGCGGGAACGCATGGTGGCTATGGGTAATTGTGCAAAGCGCTGTGAAATAGAACGTTGCGATAGGAACCTCTGCTTCCGAGATGTGCTGGACTTTGATTGGACAGATTCGGAAGCAGATGCGAGTTACACATGCTGCACATCAGAATTACTGGGGCCACTGAACCTCATTAAGAAACCCTCTGTGACTTTGCCAAGGAGAAAGTGTTTAATAAACAATGATGCAGTAAGTAGACTATGGTGTTTGCAGATGAATCAGAGCTGGCTAGCCTATATAATGCTGGGGGCTTTAACTGTAGCGGGGGCTTGCTTGCTTGCCTGCCTTGTAGAAGTGGCTTTGACCTATTTCCATTTTGAGTGGGGAGGAACTGATGAATTAATTGGGACAGGAATGAATTATATTCATCAAGTGTCACACCGTGATGTCAACCGACTCCCAAGCCTGTTCGTAGGGCTTTGTGTGGACAAAATCAAGGTTGGAGGGTGTGTGTGTGTGTGTGGTGGGGGCTAAAGTTTGTTTCTAAAGGCTGAGTACAGGAGAGCCCTTGTGTTACCACAGGGGAGGTTTTTTTGGGAGCAAAAGGGCGGGATCTGATCCAGCAGGAACAGATGCAGTGAAAGATTAGGAGCAGGATCTCCTGCAGGGTGGTACAAGCTCGCCTGTCTTAAATAGCAAGGAGAGGGGGGGGGGAGATCCAAGCCAGAAAATGATTTATGGCAGTCCAGTTCTGCAGGATGCAAACTCAAGATGAGGTGCTTACTTAAAAACACAGGATTTCATTCATTCATTTATTTATTTATTTATTTTTGAGAGAGAGAGAGAGAGAGAGAGAGAGAGAGAAATAACATTACAAAAGTCTATCAAAAAATACTTCTCAGGTTTGCCTGGCTGGCTTTATTGTCAAAGAATCAAAAGGCAGGCTTTTATCTTATTTTTCGTGTCCCTCTGGATCAGCTCTGCCCTCTCTCTCTCTCTCTCTCTTGTGTATTTTCCCTGCCACTGATCAATCACTTGCTGAGTGATCACAGCTGTGCTCATCAGTCTCTCAGCAGCACACCCCTACTGTTTTGCTTTGGATTTTGCCGGATGTTTTTCCTACCTTCAGAGTGAAACTTTTTCCACCACTTTTCCCCAAACTGGACTGCCTGTTGTTTCCGTTGGCCATGGAAACGGGATCTCCGTGTACGGTTAGGGAATAGCCGGCAACTTGACATTTGGTTATTTGGGATCTTGAACTTGACCTGCAAGGATCGGGCTTCTTCAAGGAGGTCAGACATCTGCTTGGCCGAGCAGAGACCTCCAGTTTGAAGGGACGATGGCTGTTTACATTCTGCTTGCTAGAGAAAAGGTCATTGTTCCTTCATATTTAGTTGTCAAAGGGGAAGTTTAACCGACTACTAAAGACTGAAAAGCATGAGGATGAATCAAGCTGTGTTCTTCCATGAGGTAATGACCTTTACTTTAACACCAAATGCGTTTAATGCTGTCCGATTTGGTAACAGTGGTTATGTCGACTGGTGTTCGTTTCTCATCTTGCCATTTAAACATGTGTATTACCTGGGCCAACGTCTGAATGTAGGCATTTTGTGAATCAAGACTTGTTGCCTACTTTGAGTTTTTCTGTAGCCACATCAGCATCTATGTCAGTTCAGACAGAACGTCTGCAGAGCTTCCAGTGAGATTGTGTGACATTATCTCGTGATTGTTGCTTGGGTTCTTCTTGCGCTGCTGTCTGTGCACGGTGAATGTTTCGTCTCTGTAATTTTTTCTTTTAATCGCTTAATCTGCAGTATTTATGACTCCCGAAGAAAGCCTGCAGCAGTCTGATTTGAAGATAAAATTGCATATCCTACAGTTTCAGATGAATGGGTAGACGATGCTGTAACATTATTTTTCTTAAAATAAGAATTAGATTGCAAAACGGATAAGTAATAGTGTAACTTATCCACTTAAAGCTTCCTGGTATCGCAGTCGATTGTTTGACGACGTTGCCCCCGCTTGTTCCACTGATGTCGGGTGTAGTTAAAAATAATTTGAGACTTACTTTACTTTAAGAGTTTGTCGAAGGGTACGTTTTTGGTTTTGAACCTTTCCGCTACAAAAACTCCTTAAGTTGTGGACTTAAAACATTTGTGGCTTACATCAGTAGTGTCCAGTTTCAGAGGCATCTCTAGTTTTAGTTTAATGAAATGTCTTTTCCAGAACTTGAGTGGATCTAAAACTAAATCTGTTTCGCTGCATCAAGAGCTGGCATTGGTTGGTGTACCGAGCTTAAAGCATTTATGCTCTTATTATTTAAGTGTAGAGGGAAAAGGTGCTGCATATTTAGGGTGCTAATGTAGCAGAAGACGTATGGCTGTTTGTGTGAACAAAACACTCCACACTAGGCTGAAGTTATGCGGCTATATTCACACAAACCGAATACTCGTACTTGCCAAAATGCAAGCGTTAGTGTTAGATTTGTTGCCATGGAGCTCACCGAAAGAAATTAAAGGGAAAATATTCTTTTTTTTTTTTTTTTTGCCTCCTTGAATCTGGCTGTCAAGCTAACGATTAATTATCTTTAAATATTTATTTAGGCCCCAGAAATTTGCACAAATTGCCTCTTCACCCTGTCTGCACTCACAAAAGAAGAAGAAGAAGAAAAAAAAAAGAGAAAATCAAGGGTTTGAGATCAGGGGAGGCAAATGAGAAAATAAATTCCCAGGGGCCTCGGCTAATGAAAGCACATTAGCAGTCACACCGTGTAGAAATCCGCCAGTTCGTCATAAGCAATTTTCAGTCCCCGACCAACTTATTGCAACAATATGGCTGCTTGCTGCGCAGCTCAGTGGAGGAAGCGTGACATTATTACAACCGGGGGTGAAGGCGGAACCTTCCTGCAGTGGGTGAAAGCTGATAAAGCGTATCAACACTTAATGATGTTGATGTCAAATAAAAAATAAAAACCTTTAACATTCACTTTACCTGTTGAGTTTGAAGCCTAGGAGGAGGAAAACGAGGAGGAAGACGTATTGAATATATGTTTATTTAACTGCAGCAGATGCACAGTCGCTCCACGGCTCCGTTGTCTTTGCGATGCTGTCGCTTGCCTCATGTTTCTGTTGTCTCTCTCTCTCTATTTGTTATTTTTGAACTCTTTCTTTCTTTCTTTCCTCCCTTCACCCTCTTTCCTCTCTTCACCCCCTCAGTTCCTTCTTCTTCTGCTTCGTCACAACTGCAGCAGGTAGTCATGCGAACAGCTGGAGGAGCTCCCCAACGAGGTCCTCTGTAAGCCGTTTCTCTCCTTGACCTGCCAGCAGTGAATAAGGGTGTGGAGGCGACAACAAACTGAAACGCTTGGGGTTTTTCTTTAAGCACACTCCCAATGGGTTTGCACAGTAATCTAGTTGCACATCCTGAACTAATATTCTGCACCGAAACGCCTTCTGGTCTATTTTCGTATTCAGTTTTCTTGAGTTTGCACACCTGCCGTCACGTGAATTAAACCCGAACTACAATTTTAATTAGATTTCCTCGACTTCCCTTTCGCTTGGTTAAAGCCGTCGTTTGGTTACAAATGATCCAAATGGCAGTAGGAACCCGTGGCATCGTGAAAAATGTAATCGCAGAAAAAGCGTGGGACAATAGTTCCACGACAAACTGGACGTTTGTGATGGTTTGTGAAATCGACAGAGCGGTTGGGGATTCTGCCAAGAGAGACACTGCAACAAACATGGCCAGGTTTCAGGTTAATGGTGGGCAGCCTGATCCACTTTTTAGTTTTTCTTTCCATTTAACTTTTTGCCTTCCGGCGCAATCATTTTCCATTAGAGGATAAATGTCACATGTGGAATAAGACTTGAAGTTATTCGTGGTCTAATTTTTGTTACTTGGGGCATTTTTGTTTTACAGGGGGTTTGTGCACTTTTGAGAGCTTCTGTATATCCATTTTTTTTATTTTTTTGTAGCTTCATTCATCTCCGTCGGGGTTTTCCACATGCCATGTGAGATTTGCTACCCTGCAGCGGTTTGACCCTTGCACAGTTAATGGTACCAACATGTCTTGTCTCTGTCTCTTCAACAGGCTCTGCAAAAGATGTGACTTGTGCTTTACACGCTCTGCCCCCGAACCAGATACTCGCAGCTGAAGTGCCACATTTCCTGCTACACCTCCTGTCTGTGCTCCGTCTTCCCTGGATTATGACTTGCTCATGGGGCTCGGCTAACTCCGCACCTGGGGTCCTTTACCCCCGCCTCATTAATCAGTAGGAAAGGGCTGACTTTAATAATCTTTAAAGACTCTTGGATCGTGCTCTGTTACTAACCTCTTTGATCATGGAATCTCAGTGGGGCCCGACTTTTCCCCTCCACTCTCCCTCCGTCATCTTCCTGCTTCTGGCTACTTCTTACACCTGGCTCTTTCCCGTCACATCCCCTCAGCGAGTCCCGATAGACCCCCAGGCCGCTCCGGAATACGCTCACTCCATCCGACTGGACGGCGACATCATACTCGGCGGGCTTTTCCCGGTGCATTCGCGGGGAGATCGTGGCACGCCTTGCGGGGAGCTGAAAAAGGAGAAGGGCATCCACCGCCTGGAGGCCATGATGTTTGCCATTGACCTGATCAACAAGGATCCCGAACTGCTGCCCAACATCACGCTGGGGGCCCGGATCTTGGATACCTGCTCCAGGGACACGTACGCTCTGGAGCAGTCCCTGACGTTCGTGCAGGCCCTAATAGAAAGGGACGGCTCCGACGTCCGCTGCGCCAACGGAGACCCTCCGATCTTCACCAAGCCCGACAAGATCGTGGGCGTGATTGGGGCCGCGTCCAGCTCCGTGTCCATCATGGTGGCCAACATCCTGCGTCTGTTCAAGGTAGGACTTGGTCTAATTTTTCCCATCTGTGACTGTTTCTGTTTCATCTTGACATTACAACCACAAACCTAAATATAGGATGCTTGATTGATCAAGTGAATAATTGTGAAGTCAAGGGAAAATTAGAAGTGTGGTGGCATTTGTGTTCATTTTCCAAAGTTTTATCTCTGTTGCTGTACTTTCTCTTTCATTCCCTGAACACTCTTATAACGTCTTGCTGCAGATTCTTAATTGGATGTAAGTGTAATGTAACTGAGTTACATCACCTCACTGACTCTTTGGGGTCATTGGCATGCTGAAGAGTGAACGTTCACTCCAGATTTTTTTCAGGCCTTTAACAGGTTATTTTTCAGGATAGTCCTGTATTTGCCTCCAACTTTCTCTTTGTTGCCCTGACCAGCCTGTTCGACCCTTGACGAGGACAAAAAAAAATAAACAAATCTCTGCATCTGCATCATACTGCCTCTACCATGTTTCAAAGTGGAAAGGTTTGTTGATGATGAGTGCAGTGTTAGTTTTCGTAATCCAATTCTAAGGTGTTTTCACATTCCCTTACGTGGCTTTTGGCAAACTGCACTTGGAACCTATTACCAGTTTTCTCGAGCAATAACTTTCTTCCTGTCGCTCTTCCATAAAGGCTGGATTTAAGCCGACGGTGCTGCCAACAGACTCTCCCACCTGAGGTGTGGACCTCTGCAAGTCCTTCAGTTAACATGTGTGTTACGGGCTGCTTCTCTAAATGATGCTTCCCTTGCCCGACCTGTCAGTTTAATAGGGCAGCGATGTCTCGGTAAGTTTGAGTAACTGCTTTAAACTTTGTGACAACTTTTTTTTTCCCTGACCCTCCTACTGTCTTCCTTGCTCTTCGTGATGCGGTTTGTTCACTAATGTGCCTCGGAGACCTTCACAGACCAGCTGGATTTACACCGAGATTAAATCGCACATAGTTGCACTGGATGTTGTTTTGGGGAATTGGAGCATAGGGTGAAAAAACGCCGGCAAGAGTAAACTGCACATAGACAGTCTAATGTAATGTTAGTAATGTTTTATTTTGGGGTATCAGATTAAATGGATGCTAAACATAAATGCACATCACGCCTTTCAGATGTTTATCTGAAAAATCTTAAGCCACGTTTCCTTTGACTTCACAATTATGTACCACTTTGCGCTGATCTACCACGAAATCCCAGTAAATTACATTCATAAGGACAAAGGACAACTTGTGACAGCTCAAGGGGGTGTGAACACTTTTGCCAAGCACTGCACATGCTGAATCACTCCCATCCCACGCAGCATCCAGCCCCTTCACCCGTATAGGCAAGATAAAGTTCAATGACGGCGGCCATTTGAAGCCTTATCGCTTTCTGCAGCGGTGACACCTCTTCCTTCAGCAGTTGCAGGAGAAAAGATAGCCTGTGCATTTCACTCTCGGAGCCCAAAGTGCGATTTCAAACATTCAGATGCGTCTGTGAAGGAGAAACTGATGTGTCAAGCGATGCTTGTAAGTAGGTTTAAGGTTGAGCGAAATAATAATAATAATAATAAAAAATTAAATAAAATACAGTAAAAATTGCAGCCAAGTGTGGGTATCTATTACGAGCTCGAAATCTGTCAACAGCCACTTCATTTCCCGCGCCCTGCGGTTGTTTATGCACACGTGCGTCGCCTGCGAGGACGCCGCTTTGTGTTGCCATGTTTTCGAGTACATGTGTGGGCCTAATTGAGCGTCCTCATCGGGGTACAACTCTTTTGTGTTCACGCGTGTTTTTTTTTTTTTTTACGTGCTCTCCTGAAAGCCTTTATGCATTTCAGGTGTGCGTTTGCGTGCATCTTTGGAGTGTGCGCTCGTTGTCATCATTAGCTGCGCCGGGTTTGACTGATGGCGGTGCGATGGTGAAACACGCGTCCGGTGATGACGCCCATGGCATTTTTCACATCCACATTTATCCCACGCTCTTCCACAGTGTGACCACACATTTCTTTGGCACAGAGGAATCCATATGCTTGTGTGTGTGGAAGATTTTTCCTGTGTTTCAGGACGCACATGTTAACAACCGGCTTGCGCTTTGAATGGAAGATTTGCATATTAAACAACAACAACTAAACATGATTTATTCCAGGATCTTTCACAGCAACAGCCCTCGAACAGAGCGCTTTTCCCTGCCTCTGCGGTGCCTCGCTCTCATTTGCCTAATACGATTTGGAGCCTCGCGCGTGCCTGCGTGCTCGGTGTGTGCGCATGCCGCGTGCCGCGATTGTACTTCCGCTGATAATTTGTGTGTGGGAGTCTTCTGCGGTTTTTTTTTGTTGTTTTTTTTTTCCCTTTTCATTTTTGCGCGCGCGTGCGTGCGTGCGTGTGTGCTGGATCTCTGCGATATGTCAACCTCATGCCTGTGGCTGTGCTAATGGTTTGTCTCCAAACTGTGTATCTCTCACTGCATGCTTCTTCATAAATAATACACCCCCCACTATCCCCCCTGTTTCTGGAAGTCGTGGGACGCAAACACATGTTTGCACGAATGTATTTCAAGCAAACATATGTCTTTTATAAACAGGCTTAATCTGACGGTGTCAGTCACAGCCAGTCGCCCACTCAAGACATGATGGGGTTGCGAGGCCCACCCCTCCTCCCAGAAGCAGAGCTTGTGTGTCTTTTTAATTCTAGCAGTTGACAAGTGTGATTCAAACAACAGATTGTGTTAAAAAAAAAGAAGCAAAAATTCTCCATGTTTTTTTAATTTTTTATTATTATTATTTTTCCTGTGCTTTAGCAGCAGAGGGAGCCCCTTGCTGAGAGTCACAGCTGAGAGAAATCAAATCAAACAAGAGTCGCTGATGTTTCTTTTGTTCGCCGGTTCCTCGTTTGAAGATTATCGCTCTGCACTGAGGGATGATTCAGAGCACTGCGAGGCGGGGCTGGAGATAACATGGAACTTTTTTTTTTTGTTGTTTTGTTTTTTCTAAATCAGCCATCGCCACAGCTGCATGTTGCAGGAGAAAATCTGTCGAAACAAAGCGAGTGGAAATTTGGGGCTTTACGACCACAGCTTGGTTCTGCTTTGTTTATTTGCTTCCTTTCAGACCCTTACGTCAGTTTAAAACACCTGAATATTACATCTTGGATCATGAAATTCTATCACGGGGCATAATTTTGAATTGGAAAGTTAAAGAAAATGCAGGTGCTTTGTCTCCAAAGCATTAAGTTTATTAGAAATCAGCTGCTGACTGAGATTGTTTGTGGATGACCTTTAGCTTGGCCAGGGTTCCCACACATGTGTTGCACTGCAAAGCTTGTGTGGCGTCTAAATGGCTTGCAATGCATTATTCATAGATTCATATTGACGTAAACATGAGGCACATCGTTGCTCTCAAACTGCGTTGAGCTAACTTGTAAAAGGTTTTCTATGCTGCATAAAAAAGTCAAGCTTAATCGCATGGAATTTTTTATTTTTTAACTTTGCAGCCATCTTTCTTTTTGCGTCATAACCATAACCATTGTTTACTTCAATGCAAATTTTTTTTCTCGCTTTTCAATGAAAGCTGTTGGATTATATTACACATTTTTTGCGCTAAGTGTATAAATATTGGAAATATGGTATTTTCCCTTGAGGTTCTGTCATGAGGATATAAAACCAGCCAATGCCAGTTTGGGCTATTAGAACTGAGAAGTTGTCTGTCACTGCCTGATTGGCCAGTGTTCTTGTGAAACGGGGGAAGTGCGCCATAAACTCTTGTTCGCCTCATGGAGATCTACAAAGTGATGCCGACTTGTTTCCCCTCTTCCCATGCTGCAGGAAGCTAATCGAAAACGCCAGGGCGGGGATGTTTATTAAAGCCACAAATTCATTTGATTTAATTCCCCAGCTTGAATGACTGTAAACCATGAACCATTATCAACCTCAATTTCCTAAATGATGTTGCTGCTCTAATTCAAATGTGGCCCAACCTTAAACTAATTACAGCTATTATTTTAGTTGTGATCCAGGGCAGCGCTACAGGTAGCTACAGACTGCGCACAGTTTGTATTTCTTCATTTTAGTTCCTATTTTATCTTTTACGCCAAACCCTTATGTTTTTGGCATCCACTGTTGGCAGCAAGGTAAGAATTTAATTGAACAGGGAATCCTGTCATAAATACCAAACCTTCAATTTGTGCCAAACTGTCATAAATGGAAGTAATAAATGTTTCTTAGTGTTTTTACCTTAAAATAACACATTTTTTAATCCCATCTGGTGAACTTTCTCATTGCAGTACGCAGGGTCTCTTAAGATTTCCTTGGATTTTCTTCAGGTCCTTCCGTTAATTGGATATTGTTTTTTTTTTTATGTGTGCGCGTGTGTGTGTGTGTGTGTTGCAAAGTTTCTCTCAACTTAATTGAGAGCGGGCATTAAATTTTATCTGTGCAACACATTGCACAGATAAAAATCCCAAACTGCTTCACAAAGACGCCACATAATAGAGAAGTATTTTGAAATTAAAGGCACAGCACATTGAAGAAGAACGACTTGGGCTGCACTTTCAATGAGCTCGGTCTCTCACATGTAAAAAAAATAAATAAAAAAATCTTACAGCTGATGCAACATGCTGTAAATAATGATCCCCTTGAGTTCATCACGTAGTTCTTGGGACTGCAAGTAGATCTGGAGGGCTTTTGGTGGAGTAAGTGGCTCTCGTAGTTCTGTAATAGAAGAATAAGTTTAACCATACAAGGCCTGTGGAAAAAGATGAAAACACGAGCAATGTGATTTCATACATGTTCCAGTCAGAAACGTTGGACCAACAGAAATTGTTTGAAGGGCCAATTACAGTTAATGAATCAACTGAAATGTAAAGTTAAGTATTGGATAAAGAAAACGGTTTGGAAAGACTGGGGGGAGGGAAAAATCTACCTACAATCGATGCATCTTGACATTGGGCCATTTTAGAGATGAGGATAACAGCTGATCAACTGTCGTTATTCAAACTGTATAAGTACTACTGGTGCTACTTCGACGACCTT